TCCAGGGGCTACAGCTTCGACGTCTGCCCTCCCAGGCTCCCCCAGACACTGGCTCTGGGGGTACAGTGGCGACCGCACAAGGCTTTTTGAAGAGGCGACATGAGAGCCAAGCCTTGAACATCAAGAAGGAGCCAGATGCAAAGATCTGGCCTGTCTGAGTGTGTGTGTGTGAGAGAGAGAGAGAGAGACAGACAGACAGACAGAACTTCTACATGTTTATGAGTGAGCATCCCTGACCCAAATGTCTGGTAAACCTTACATGCTTCTGGAAAGCCCCGGCGCATAACTTGGAACCTCAAAGGATCCTCAGCAGTGTGTTTTTCTGGAAGGTCAGGGGGATGTGTCTTTCTGGCCCCCACTGCAGTGATGGGGATGGGTCCCAGGCCCTGTCTGTGCCCCGCTCGCTCCCTCCAAGCCAGCGAGCCCCTGGGGGCTGGGCCGGCCCCCAGGCCTGCGGGCCTGTTGGAAGCAGACCTGTGCAGCCGGCACTGCGGGCTGAGAGGGGGCTTGCGGCCCATGTGGGAGCCAGGCAGATGTCAGCATCCAAACAACACATGTATATAAAAGAAACCACGTCCACAGCAGGATCCGGAAAGGACTGTGAACTGGGACTTGCTGAGAGAGGGGCGTGGGCGTCCATGCGGCCCTTATGGGCTGTTGCTGGGGCTAGAAATGCGCTTTAAGACTACAGGCTCTCAGATGGCTCTCATGTCACAAAAGTCATGGCCAGCTGTGCAGGCCCCCACCTTACACCAGGACACCTCACGGCCTTTGTTTCCTCTCCCCACCACCACGCAGAAAACAGCAGCAGTGACCAGAGACAGGCCTGCAAGAAGCATGAACTGTATGTCAGCTTTCGAGACCTGGGCTGGCAGGTAAGGAGGTGTCCGGGCCCTCTGAGTGGGCAGCAGGCCATGTCCCTCCCTGGAGAGTCGTGGCTCAGCTGTCAAGGCTCTGGGCATCAAGTGGCCTGGCTAGGCTACAGGGTTAGGGACCCCAGGCGGACACGTGATTGAGGGCTGAAGCAGAACCAGGAACCCAAACACCTTGACGCTGAGCCCATTAGCATTCATAGTCATTAGACGCTGAACCCCACTTGCACCTTGACGCTGAACCCATTAGCATTCATAGTCATTAGACGCTGAACCCCACTTGCATTCGCAGCCAGTTCTTCTCTGACGGGATCCCCCTTCTGAGCGGGAACCCCGGTGCGTCCAAAGGGCGCCCCCCACCTGGCTGCCCCTGATTGGCCAGGCCGGGGTCAGGTGGTATCCCTGGGCCAATCAGCTAGGCTGAGCGTGCGGTCACGTGACGGAAACATGGCGGCTCCCTCTGGAACCATTTGCACAGGGCAGGGCATGGCCGGAGTCCTAGAAAGGGACGGGCGGGTCGCACCCCCCAGCCGTGGGTTGCCTGGGAGCATCTCCGTGCACGGCACGACCTGGCCGTGGGGCTCAGGTGCCCGGAGGGGCGATGGCACGGCCCCACACATGGGCGCGCCATTCCCCGGATCCTGTGGCAGAGGCTCTGGGGCCCGGCGGCCCCTTCCGGGAGGCTGCGGGGACCTCACGACCCAGAGGGGAAGGAGGACGGACACGTGCATCCCTTGCTGGGCCTCGGTCCGCCAGCGCCGTCCTGATTCTCCCCCGAGCCAGAGCTGTGAACTGAGGCGTGAGGTTCGGTTAGGGCGAACTGCCCGTGCGTGGCCAGCAGGCGGGCGAGGTGGACGGCACCCTGGTCCCCCCACTCTGGGTCTCCTTACAGTGAAGCCACACAAGTGTCCATTCTGGGCCCAGACCCACCTCAGCTGCTCCTTTTCCTCGTTTTGCTTTCTGTGGGCGCCACGAGAGGCCGCCGCCCCTTTCTCCTGCCTCTGCGGAGAAGGGGAGCCCCGGAGTCTGAGCCGGGGGCGCAGGGGGTGCGGCTGGAGGGCGCAGGCCTGAGCTCACACGTCGCGCCCTGCGCTCCCCCCTCACTCCCACCCCGCAGGACTGGATCATCGCCCCGGAAGGCTACGCCGCCTACTACTGCGAGGGGGAGTGCGCCTTCCCGCTGAACTCGTACATGAACGCCACCAACCACGCCATCGTGCAGACGCTGGTGAGTGCTGGGCGGCGCCTCGGGCGGGCAGCAGGCCGCAGCCCTGCCCTCGGGGCGCTGTGCTGGGGCCAGACTGCCATCGGCCGGGTCGCCTCTGGACTTCACGGGCACCTTTAAGAAAAGATTTGAAATTATACGACTGTTGTAGAATCTTAGACCCTGAAGTTCATTATTTGTTGCAAGAACAGTTTCATGGGTGAAAGATACTCTGGGCAGTGGTCACTGTGCCTAACATTGTGGCCCCGCCTGCCTCTGGGGCCTCTGCCTGGGGGCCTCTCCCCGGGGGGCCCTCTGGTAGTCGGCTGGGCTTGCTCCACTTCCATAGGCCTCTCCCAACCCAGTGTCTGGGCTTCAAGATGCTCCCCCCAGGACTCATGTCTTCTCCTCCCGTCCTTGATCCTGGCGGTTTAGCCACTCAGGGGTACGAGTTGTGTTTATGGAGTGCCTACAGGGTACAGACCCTGGGGGGGAGATGGTGACACACAGAGAGCAGCACAGATGTGGTCTCTGTCCTCAGGGCCTCATTCTTCAGGGAAGGAAACACTCAAGTAAACAAATGAGGAAACTGCAGAGAGATGGGGATTCTAGGAAGGCAGGACTAAGAAATGGGCGCTTCCAGGCTGACCTCCCACGGGGTCAGCTGGAGGGTGCAGTGTGAGCGTGAGGTTACCTTGGTGCCCAGCGCTGGTGCCACTGCCATTGCTGCCCAGTGAGGAAGGTGAGGGGTGAGGGGCTTTGCTTTTTAGCTGCCAGTCTGAGGTTCAGGAACCTTCATTACTTAGCTCCCTGCCTCGGACATTACCTGGGCCTGTCTGTCAACTGTCATCCTCCTTGACGCATCTGGTGGGCGCGCTTGCTACCCAGTCATCCTCTGAACTGAGTTGTTTGCTGTGAGCGTTACGGCCCCTCCCTCTCCCCTGCCCTGGTCCTTGGGAGGTGTCTTGGAGGACAGGTCACTGATTCCTTTTATTGGGCCCAGTCTTGGCCTTGAAGACAAGAGCTCTTTATTTAGCACTGCTTCCCGGGGCCCATCTTCCCTGCCCCGGAAGTAAATGCAGATGCTCTACTTAGGATCAGAACTGAGCGGTCCCTTCCTTCCTTGGCCTGGCCCTGGCCCCCTGTGCTGTGTCCCCATAAGTGTCTGCTTTTGAGGACCCAGAGAGGCGACCTGCTGTCTGCCGGGCTGCGGGGGCCGGGGCACTCTACCTGCCGTGACTGACCTCTGCCCTCACGGCCCACTCGCCTGTTTCAGCGGTGAGCTCCCGGCCGGCATTGCCCTGGTGTTGTGACGTGAGGGCTCTGTGGTCATGGTGGAAAAGTGGGTGCATCTCTGCCCTCTGGGGAGCCCCACAGACACATGGAGGAAACGAGAGCATCCAGACTTGCATTAAAGCTCTTCAAGGATAAAGGAGATGAGGGAAGGTTTGGATTTGTAGGGCTTGACCACGTCCAGGGTCAAAGCTGAACACGTGTAGCCAGAACACGCGTAGCCTCCTCAGACGTCACGGGCTGGAGGCCGCGAGCAGGGCGTGTCCTCAGGCCACTTTCACTGGGCACACCTGTGCGGTGTGTGGGCACCAGGGAGCCTCACGGGAAACCACAGCAGCGCTGGGCCTCGGGGTGCCCTACGCTGCCCAGCCGGCCGCTCTGGCACCGGTGGGCTGTGGTCCGCTGGCAGCCGGTCTCCCGGCTTTGCTCAGTCCTCGCTGTCCCTGTGCCTGCTCCTGGACGCCGCTGCCCATCGGTGGCTTTCCCGGGGCCTCAGGCTTTGGGTCCGCTTGTCTCTGACCCGTCTCCTGAGCCCGGGGCACAGGATGCTGCCTCTTGCGCTCTCCTGCACGTCCTGCTTCCTTGCGCGCAGCCAACCCCGTGCCGCCTGCTTCCTTTCCCCTATTTTTACTCTCCACAGGTGGGGAGTCTTCTGTAGCGTAGCCCTGCACCTGAGAGGGGGTAGCCGTTTTTACACGTGGTTCTTGAACAGATGGAAATAAATGTTCAAGAAATTCTGTAAATAAAAAAATCCACCCTGGATTTTAAGTGATCATATTCATTAATAAAATGATTAATTTTAAAGTTAATTTTTGTTACTGGTTATGAATATTATTAAGCTTTTTTAGTGTCACGTACGTACTGAAATGACAGTATTTTTGAAATACTGGCTTACACACGCTTCTCAGTGAAGGTCACCTGTGTCTTTGCCAGCGGTTTAAAGTGGCTCCTGCATAGGTGACCTGAGCTGTATTTTTCTTAGACAGAACAGGACTAGGCCAGCGGTCAGCAGCCCTTTCCTGAAAAGGCCTAAGAGTAAATATTTTTGACTACGAGAGTCCTGAGGTCTCGGGTCAAATACTGGACCTGCCACCCAGCGAGAGGGAGGTGGGCGAGATGCAGCTGGTGGGCGTGGCTGGCCCGCGGCCCGGAAACCACTTCCCAAAACAGCCGCTTGGTCGAGATTTGCCAGCAGACTGGTCCGACCCAGCAGCTCCCGGGCAGGGCCGCTTTGTCCGGCAAGGACTTCCAGCGCCCTGGAGACAGTTTCGGTGTCCTGACAGGAGCGCTTGGGAGCAGGTAACCTGGCGCACACGCCACCGGCCAAGACGCCCCAACAGAGCAGCCTCGGGGCCCCCGTGCATGATCTGGCTCCCGCCTCAGCCGCTGGGAGTGGTGTGAGCCTCTGTCCCAGGGTTCCCAGGGGCTGTGAGATGGGGTGACCCCAGACATACGGTAGCTGGGTCTGGGGGTGCAGTGTGTGTGCCCGTAGGGACAGGACGCCAGAGGGACGCACTCTCACCCCTGCCGACGTCTGGTGTGTGTCCAGGTCCACTTCATCAACCCGGACACGGTGCCCAAGCCCTGCTGTGCCCCGACGCAGCTCAACGCCATCTCCGTGCTCTACTTCGACGACAGTGCCAACGTCATCCTGAAGAAGTACAGGAACATGGTCGTGCGGGCCTGCGGCTGCCACTAGCCCCGAGGCCACCGGGCCCTGTGCCCCACCGCCCTGCCCTAAGGAGCCGGCAGGCCCATCTCCTCCTGTGAGGCTGCCGGTCCCCTCCCCGCGCGAACGGTGCAGGAAATGAAGGAACTCACAGGCGACGCTTCGGTCCGTTTCTCTCCGGCATCCTCAGACAAGATCCCACGGGCCGCAGCCGGCGCTGCCCAGCAGGAGAACAGGGAGGAAGACCGGCGGCCGCCCCCGGCCGGCGTCTTGGCCCCGGGCAGCCGCAGGACACCCTGCGGCCGAAGCCTGGCGGCAGCGGAGGCTCACACAGGGTGGGTGCGTCTGAGTCCGCACTCAGGGCGAGCCGACTCGAAGTTCCTGTACTAAATGTCACAATAAAACGAATGAATGAAAATGGTTAGGATGTGACAGATATATTTTCCTAAGCAGTCTCCCCCCACCCCTGGTTCTCTGACTTCATAAACAGAAGCTGTGGCCGACGGGGGTGGGCACCCTCCCCTCCACCCTGGTTTCCTTCTGAGGCCTGCGCAGCCCACACCCAGCTCGGCAGGCGGGGAGCGGGGAGGGTGCATTGTCCTAGGTGGAAACACCCCGCGGCCCAGCTGCTGTGTGGGCGCAGAAGTTAGGGTCCTGCAGGCCCACAGGCACGTTTGCCGTTGGCTTCCTGCCCTCCATGGCGGGGGCGGCGGCAGAGGGCAGCGCTGTGGACGGCCACGTGACCGTGGACTCTGGCCCACAGCGCCCTTTTTAGGGCAGCAAGGGCACCCAGCTCCCAGTCGGGGGGGCGGGGAGAGGGGGGCGCTGTCCTTTCCCCAAGTCTACCCCTCCCTTGTTCGCTGACAGCAACCTCTGAAGCCGGGGTCCTGACTTCTGTGGCCACCTCTTCATCTGCAGACCTCTCTGAGTACCCTGCAGAAGGAATTGGCCCCTCAAAGGAAGGGCACCTTGCCTGGGGTGACCTGCCCGGTCCCGGGTGTGCTGGACACGAATCTCAAGTGGAAGGATCTAGAAGTCATTTTGAGCGTGACCTCCTAGTCAAGTATCCTGGCTCATACCAGGTAGCATGTCTGACGCGGCTGTGCTGTGACCCTCCCGTGCCTCGGCCGGTGGCCCCCAGTGGCACGCACCCATCTCCAGCTGTGCGGGCCTTGGGAGGATGGAGCTGTTCCTGAACAAAAGGGGGCCGCCCCGGGAGGTGCACACCCCTGGAATCCTGTCCAGTGGGGAACGGCGTCTCCACTTGATGAAGAGGCTTCCTGGCAGCAGTGCTTCTTTTTTCCTCTCCAGTAGCTTAGGCTGCAGCCCCCGCCGCCGAGCCGCTGGGGGGGTCCCCACGTTACATTTCGTTTGTCTGTTGGCAGGTCTGGGGCTTTTGTGAGACCCTCGGTCGGTGTGAGCTCTCGCACCACCCGTGCCAGCTTCTGGCCTCTCGTCAGCGCTACCTGTAGATGGAAACACGGAGAGACGTGACTGGTGCCCGTCCGAAGCTCCTTGGGCCCCGGGCCCCTTCCTTGTCGAAACGAGCTCGCTTCCCCGCGCCCCGCCGGCTCTTATTTAAGACTATTTATTAACGGTTGGACCCGTGTACTTTCAGCTCTTGCACAGAGTAGTCCTCAGCGAAAATTCTGTATAAATAGCCCAAATAAAAAGGGTTTTGACTCTGCAATCGAAGGAGACTTTGGCTCTGCTTCTTGGGCCTTGTGCGTCTGGTGTGCGCGCAGCTCTCGGCTCCTCCGCCCGGCGGGTCTGGGGGGCGGCTGAGAACGCCGTGCCTTGACCTCCCCGACGAACGTGCTCTTTATCATCCCGGCCCTGAGGACACAGGGCGCGCGCTCGCCGGCTCTGGGTGCAGCTGCGTGGGGCCCCGGACAGGAGAGCTGGAACCGGACAGCAAATGTGAATTTGGTAGGCTCAACTACAAAGGCCCTTGATTGAATTACAGTGCAGCTGTCAGCAGCTGTTTCAGAGAGGCAGGGGGTAAATTAGCTGTGTTTACTGCTAACATAGTTGAAAGATTTAGTCATCCCAATAAAATAGAGGCCTAAGAAAGAAAAAAAATAGGCCCGGGGGGGGGGGGGGGGGGAGGCGGGTACACCCTAAACTTTAAAGCGGCACAGGCCCAAAGCCGACACTGTCCAGCGCAAGTGACTTCGGGGTGGGGGTGGGGTGGGGGCTGCTGCCAGCTCCCAGCCTGGGGTGCCCGCAGCAGATCGGGGGACGCAGCTGGGGGCCTTTGCCGGCGTGCCCAGAGCCGGGGGCGGCAGTGGGGCTCTTTCGCTTTGAAGCGCACCCCCAGGTCCCGGAGAGCTCTTCCTCTGTGCCCACTGCTGCCCGCCCCCCCTGCTGCCTCCAAGGAGCAGCTGCCCCTAACTAGTTCCAGCCTCTGATTTCCAAACCCTCTGTCATTGTCCTGATGGGCCATTTAGCTTTCGTTCTGTTTTCCAGGCCAAAGACCAGAGCAGCAAGCCGGAGGCCCAGATGTGGCCTGAGATGTCTCCTGTTCCCTCCGCGTGGTGTTTATAAACTGAATTTATTGCCAACGTGTTTTTGAAAAATCAGAGGATTGGGGTGAAAAAAATCTCCAAATCTGGATCCTCTTGAGAATCAGCAGCTCAGAGCCCTCTGGGCCCCGTTGCTGTATGGAAGCTCTGGGCTGGAGCCAGGGGCTGCCGCGGCCCCAGTCTCCCCTGCTCCCTGCTGCCTCTCCGGCGGGTGCTGCTGTTGAGGCCGTGGATGGCTACTTGCTGGTACCTTGTCGGTGTGCCCACGGCAAGGCCTGGCGAGGGCGTGTGCAGCCAGGAGAGGCAAGAGGCTTTCTCTGCTTTGTCCCTGGCCCACTTCCCTGTTGGGACCTGGCCGGGCCCTCCAGGCAGGGGTGTCTGTGGGGTCGTCTTGGCCTTCGTCAGCCCCCTCCTGTCTTGCTCATTTTCACCTCAGAGCGCGTTTTCACTGTCTCTCCTCCTGACGAGGTTACCTTTTGGCCTGACCTCGCTGCCGGCCGAGCTGAGAGTGTGCTAAGAGAAGGAATTTACTCTAAGGCCCTGGCTATTGGTTGCTGGGGTGGAAATTTGAACCCCAAAGCCTGGGTTGTACCCCAGGCTCACTGGAGTCAGGATCTCCTGGGGCGGCTCATGAAATGTGAGGCTCCCCGGTCCCCGACCCCAGCCTCGTGGTTCCTCAGGGCCGAAAGTCAGTTCCTGAATGCTGCTCAAGGCCGGGCCCACAAGCCCAGGCCTCGGGGCTGCCTCCGGTGTCTGAGCTGTGCGAAGCCGGCACCAGCGGCCGTGGCACCAGCGGCCGTGGCACCAGCGGCCGTGGCACCAGCGGCCGTGGCGCAGGTCTTGCCTGCCCGGGACCGGCCCTCTGTGGCGGCCGCCAGCACCTGCCCCGGCCCCTCCTCCTGCCTGGTGGTGACTGTGTGGACCTCTCCGCAATGGCGGGGTTCGCTGGGGCACTGGGCCAGCTGCTCAGAACACGCTTGCCCCTGCACCCGAGTCTTCCCTCTGCTCAGGTGGGCCCGGGAAGGTGAGTGTCAGCCTCAGGGCTGCCGCAGCGAGGCCACCTGCCAGGTCGATTGAAACAACAGAAATGACCCTCACAGCTCGGAGCCAAAGGCCCCATCAAGGCGTCACAGGGCCGCGCTCCCAGCACGGCTCAGCGAGGACCCTCGGCGCCGCCTCGGCCTCTGGGGTGCCGCCTTCCTGGGCCTGTGTCTGCGTGGCCATCTCCGTGCCTCAGTCCTTCCTCTGCGTCTCACCTAAGGACACAGCATCCCACCTGTAGTTCACGGCAGCCAAGGTGATCCCCTCTGGGGTGCTTGTATCTGCAGAGACCTTTTTTCTGCACCAGATCATAGCACGGCGTTGCAGCCGGAGCCACCATGCAGGCTGTGGTGGCCTGGTCCCCTTCCCACAGCAGTCTGGGGGACGAACAGGGCAGTTTCACTTGGTCCGTGACCACAGAGGGGCTTTGTGATAGGGCCATAGCAAGGACCAAGAGCGAGAGGGGCAGTGATCTTGCTTTCTAGAGACTTGTTTTGTGTGGGCAAGATCTGGGGAGGGCGGAGAAGAGGCTTCAAGGAGGAAGAAGCACTGGAATGGGGGCCGCCCCACCTAAGCGCCCCACTCTGGGCGGCGGGTCTGCACGACGGGAGGTGGCGTGTGCGCTCAAGCTGCCTGGCCTGGTGTTTGCAGCGGGGACTGGGACCTGGTCACGTTCACGTGTGGAGGCCATGGAGAGGACACTCAGCCGCGGGAAAGGCCTCTGCCCCATCTTACAGCTGTCTTTTGGGGGTCGAGAATGAGGGGCCTTGGTGCCTCCGTTTTCTTATCTGTGAAATGGTAGGGTGTCCACCTAGATGATGATAGAAAACCCTGCATAGGATAGAAAAACCCAAACAACGGCTTAGATAAGGCAAAAATTCCTGTCTCTCATTTAAAGGAGAGCTGAAGGTCAGTCTTCCGAGGTCAGGATGGCCTTTCAGCGCCGTTGGGAGCCAGGCACTTCCTGTCGTTCTGCTCTGCCGTCCCGATTCACGGCTTTGACCCCTGACAGTCAACCTCACGGCCCAAGAAGGTGTCTGGAGAGCCGGCCATCACATGTCTATTCTGCGCTGTGTGCTCCCTTGGAACAGTCATTCCGAAAATCATACTGAGAACATTCTCTTGTGAGGAAAACTATAACCGCAGCACATCTGGCAGAGGAGCCGGGAGCTTGGTCAGATATTCTGGGTGGAAATCTACAGAGTGAGAATCAGCGGTCTGGGTGCCGTTATTACTAGGGGAGTGTTATGGGAGCTGGAGGTCAGAAATTAGCTCTCTGCTAGTTTTCTGTTGCAGTCACCACAAGTTTGGAGGCTTCCATCCACACCCATCTATTATCTTACACCTTCTGGGACCCAAAATTGGGGTGACTGAATCCTCACCTGGAGTTCGGTTGTAGGACTGAGTCAACCACGGGTCCATCTCCTGGAGGCCTCTTCCCAGCCCTGTCCACAGCAGTCTAACCTTCCCAAGCAGGAGCAGAATCTCTGACGATGCTAAGGATTGACTTGACTAGGCGAGACCACCCAGAATGACCTCCCTTTGATGAGCTCCACGTCAAGTGATTAGTTAGGGGCCTTAGTTACGTCAGCCAAATACCTTCACCTTTGTGGGTGACGATCAAACGTTGGGTAGGAATCTTGGGGACCACAGAAAGTACTAGAGACAGTGTGTACATGTTAGCACCTGCACCGAGCTGAACTGAGGGCAGCCGAGTACAGGGCGCACACCAAGAGCCCCCCACCCCTCCGCCTCACCAGCAGAGTTCGAGTTTGAGCTGTGGTCCTCGTGCCCCGAGTCCTCTGTGAAGTCACTGGTCACCCAGCCGCTTTCATGCGGCCTGGGAAGGACGACAGGAAGGGCCCTTCTGGACCCGTGCCAGACCGGCGTGCCAGCACCTGGCTCTTCCTTGGGGCGGGACCCTGTGAGAGGCACGAAGCGCTTTGCAGTTGACCTCACTGCACCTGGACAAGCCCAAGCTACACTCTCCAGCTGCTGCCCCCCTTAACAGCACGTCATAGCTGCGTGGACACTGCGGCCGGCTCCGGGGACGTGCCCACCTGCACGTGGGTGACGGTGGCGCTGTCTGGGGTGGAGCAATGGAAGGCAGCCCTGCCCCCGCCCAGGGAAGGGGGTGTGGGACATCTGCTGGCAGGAGGGAGCCGCTCTCACGGGACCCAGCCCCCACCCAGGTTGCAGTCGCCCAGCCCTGCCTAGGACACGTCCAAGAACCTCTTGCAAGCATTTTTTTCCTTCGCCTGTGGATCAGTTCCTCCTGGCTCAGACCCTT